GTTACATATTAATATATTAATGTTTTTGAAAAAGAACATTGAATGCAAATTTCCATATAATATATACCACAATGATGCTTAACATTATGTCTGATTTATAATTCATTTTTATAAATCATTTTTATAAATAATAATTCAAACAGTTTATATTGTAAAGTTTGGAATTAATAAAAAAATAAAATTATTTTTTTATCATTTATGTAAATTAAATCCATATATAGAAAGATCTGTTTACTACCCGGATGAAGTTTTTTTAGACGGGTCCAATCTCTATTTCATACACAAACTTGCCTGATTTAATCAAATTGTTACTTGAATCATTCATAAAAAATAACAAATATATGAAAAACCTTTATTTTGATGTATTTTTTGCCAGGGTAAACAAATACCACTAAGCGATAATCTTAACATGAAGTTGGTCCACCAGTTCTATAAGTTCTATAATAATAATAATTTAAGAAATTGGATTAGTTCCGAAAATTTATTATTATTATATATACAAACTCTATCTTTGGTACTGATCTACAAAAATAAAGTTTATTTTTTAAAAAATATATATTTTAAATTTGTAGTAGAAGTCCCTTTGAACTGGATAAATGCTTGTTGTTGTTGTTGCTTGACATTATTAGTAGAAGCTACTTTTCGAACCGGATGAATACTTTGTTGTTATTGTTGTTGTTCTACATTATTATTAGTAGATGTTCTCGTTTTCTTGTTTTCATTTTTATTTTTTAGGTTTTTTTTTTTATCAGAAGTAATTCGAATATTCGTAATAACTTCGGATATCCGTAATAGTAATGTATAATAGTAATGATAATATTTGTATTTACGAATATTTGTAATACTTAAATTGATAAAATTCCCTCAAGTAAGAATGTCTTGGCGTTATTTAATTAATGATAAAATTCTGATTTTTCGTCGGAAGAATCCATTACCGATGATGGATTTTGTAGACCACCAAATAATACAAACTTTGACGAAACATGAAAGACCAAGAGAAAGCTAGCTATATGAATTTTTTGAGTGACGACGATCTCTCCAAAATATGTTACATGTATTGGTATGTTTTTTATATATATCATTAATTACTATTACTATTACTATTACCAAGTAATATTAATATATGTAAAAAAACTTAAATCGATCAGAGGACCTCAGAATCGGTTTTTGCTATAGAACTCTCATATTTTATTGAAAAAGGATACGAACGACATGAAATGTTGTTATTATTATGTTAATAAACAAATAAAGTATATATTATGATATTAATACCCTAAAGTAAAGATATCCGAATATTCGAATGTGTTACGGCGTTACTGTTACTAATACTGCTCCTATTACTATTACTGTTACCAAATGTGGGTTGTATAATGAATTCAAATCTACATATGTGAAATTCAAATTAGCCAATCAGAATTCCATAATATTTTTTCATATACAACAGATATATTCGAATAAAGAATTAGAATCGAATATCATTTCCATAAAAATTACGAATATTCGAATAAGGGGTTAGTATATTATATTAAATATATTAGTATTAGTATGTTGCGCTTCTGATCAGCTAATAAAAATTAGATTTATCGTGTAACAAGGATCAGAAAACAGGATTGAACGCCTCTATTACCATATTGATTTACTGATCTCAGAATTTTTTATATCGATGACGATTAACTTCTTCTTTAGCACATAATAGTAATAAAGTTTTTAAAAAAATACACACATACACACCAACAAACATATTCATTCATTCATTCATTTTCATTTAAAATATGGTATTTTACAAAAAAAAAAAAAAATAGATGTTTTTATCTTAAATTTTTTCCTACGCAAAAAAAAAAATAAAAAAATTATTTGAGATTTATCATGAAAAATAAAGAAAATTGTACTATTGAAATAATAGAAGATAATATCATTGATGAAGATGATAAAGGCATAGAAATCATCGATGATCCAAAAAAATGGTCGCAAAAAAAGAAATTAATAATTTTAATATTGCTTTGTTTTTTAAATATGATTGGACCATTAGCAAATTCGTAAGTTATATCATTTATCGTTATTGTAGCCGATAGATCAAAGTATTAATTTGTGTATAGTGTTCTTTACCCGGCACTGCTTAATATTCTTGCAGACCTAAGAATCGATAATGAAACATATGTAAATGCATTGAGTAAGTAAAAAAGCGAATAAATGAAAAAATGAATATCTCATTAAAAAAAAGCTAATGTCATGATAAATTTTGAACACAGTTGGTATTTTCATGGTATTCTGGGGTGTTTCGGTAAATATTTAAAAAAATAAGATAATTAAATAGTTAATTTCTAATTTATTAATTTTTGATTATTCTACCACAAAGCCAATATTTTGGGCCTCGTATTCAGACATGAGATCTACCAGACGTAACGTGTTTCTTATTGCTCTTCTATTATTACTGATATCGAGTATAATATGTGCAATATCAAATAGTATAGAATTATTATTGGCCATGAGAGCATTACAAGCATGTAAAATTTAAAAATTCCTTGAAATACTTTTTTTTTTTTTTTTTTAATACTGTCCGTCATACATATAATAATAATGATTAGAAAATCATTAACAAAAAAAGGTGGATCTTCGGTTGCTCAAAGTGTAGGCGCGGGATGTATAAGTGATTTGTATATACCATCAGGTAAGAAGAGTAGAAAGTGGAAGAGGAAAAAGAAAAAGAAATTGTTGTTATTAAATTCTAATTAAAATTACTATTAGAACGCGGGAAACATTATGGAGTGTTTTATATTGGATTTTTTGTTGGTGTTTTGATTGGACCAATCGTTGGCGGATCAATAGCACTAAATTTTGGATGGAGGTGGATTTTCTGGTTCCTGTCAATTTTCTCTGGAGTTTTGTTTATTTTCGTATTGATTTTTTTTTCTGAAACATTTCGTAAAGAAAAATCTGCATCTTCAGCAAAAATTAGTTTCAATCCATTTGTAGCATTCAAGTTATTGAAATCCAAGAATGCTAGTCTTGCGATGCTTTATTGTTCATTATCAGCAATAGCAATATATGTTCAACATATAATAGTGCCAAGAATTTTAATAATTGATTATGGATTTAATTCTTTTGATGTTGGTTTGATTTATGTAATTCCCGGCTCGGGATTTGTTATTGGATGTTTTGCTGGTGGTAAATGGTCAGATGTCGTGTACAATAGATTAACCAAAAAGAATAACAATGTTTCTTATCCTGAACTTAGAATCCATTCAGGTTGGGCAGGTGCAATATTAACGCCTTTAACTTATATGATTTACGGATGGTTACTTGAAATTCATTTCAATATAATATTACCAATGGTGTTTATGTTTATATGTATGTAATTTTCAAATCGATTTTTAATTTTATGTAAACTAATTTATTTATTTACACAAAATTAATGACTTTTAATTATTTTATCTTTAGTTTCATTATCAACTCAATTGATATTAAGTCCACAGGAGACTTATCTAGTAGATTCATATCCAGAATCCAGCGCATCAATAGTCGCCTTAAATAAATTATTTGCATTTATTTCAGCTGGGGTAATGTCTGTGCTAATATTACCAATGGCCAATGCTTTGGGTATAGGATGGTCATTAACTATATTGGCTTCTTTTAATGTCTTTAGCATTGGTTTATTAATCATCATTTGTTTAAAAGGAAAAGAATGGAGAGAAAATTATCAAATTTCTTAATTCATCATTTATGTATATATATATATGTATTTGTATTTGTATCGCAAAAATAATATAATTTTTATTTAATACTATCCATTTATCATATCAATGTACTAACAATAAAATAAATATATAATTAAATAATAATAATAATAATAATAAACAAAAAATAAACACTATGTAAAATAAATAAATATTATCTAATTAATAAATAAATCAATGAATGAATAGCTATTATAATTAATTAAATTAAAAGGAGGAAAAAAAATTATTAAGTCTCTATATAAATATTTTGTAATCATGTTTGTTATTTTATCTTTTAATAATTAAAAGTTATCCTTCAAGTTTGTACAATAATTCTTGGACTTTTTCTTCAAGCTCTTCTCTTTTAATTCTCTCTTGAGCCAATTTCGTTTCGAAATCACTTTTAAGTTTAGCTATCTCCTCATTAAACAATTTCTTTAATCTAAATTCAACATCTGATTGGTTCGATATACCAGAAAATTGGTTAAATTTGGATGATAAGGATTTTACTCCACCAATAACTGGTTTTGTTGTTGACTCGTTATCGTTATTGTTATTATTAGACGAGGATTCTATCGGTGGCTCAACAGGTCTTCTTGGGGTTTGTCTAAGTTGTACAGCGGGTAATCCAGCCCCTGCAATTGGTAATTTAAACATATTTGGTTTCACCGGTCTTTCAGGTTTATAAGGCAATGGTGGAGGCGATGGTTTTGATTCTTCTTCATTCTTTTCCTGAAAAAGAAAAAAAAATTTATTATTCATTATATTGAAAAAACCAGATTTGTTTTTTCTTAAATATACTAACAGATGCTAATGCTTCCTCCAATAAAGCATTCTGGCTTGGACCAGAACTATCTTTAGAACTCTTGTTAGTGGGGATTCTTCTACCTCTTATAGCTGGTCTATCTTTTCCCAGACTTGAAAGCTTAGTAATTGGTGGCACTGCCAATGGTTTTTTTACTTCTTTTTCAACCAGCACCACTTCTTCTTCTTCCGCCACCGCCACCACCTCCTCCTCCTCCTTTACTACCACTTCTGCCGCCACTTCCTCTTTTATCACCACCACTTCTTCTTCTTCCTCCTCTTCTTCCTTCTTTATAACCTCCACCACCTTCTCTTCCACCACCTTCTCTTCTTCCTCTTCCTCTTCCTCTTCCTCTTCCTCTTTTTCTTCCTCTTCTTCATTAGCAGCTGCTTGACTTATTTCCTCTTCTTCTGAAATCTCTTGTTCAATATTTGTTTCTTTTTTAACAACATTTTCAATTTCTTCATCTGATTTGTCGTTTCCAATATTGGATTCATCTTGTATATTGGTTGAATGAGTTTCACTTAATTCTTGATTACTGATTTCTTGTAATGGCGATCCAACCTTTTCCAGTTTTTCATCATCATCAACATTATCAACATCATCATCAACGTTTGAAGTTTCTTTTGGTGAGGATAACGTCTCAACACTAACTTCGCGTGATTTAATTGCGGATCTAGTGCTTGAGGATGAGGATGACGATGATGTTGATGATTTTTTGACTGGGACAGAAGGTGGCTTCGCAGGTGCATATCTAGGAATTGGTGGTAGTTTTGTTAATGGTGGTTGAGATGGTGGTGGCGATGACTTGTTTGTATCTGATTTAACATCAATTTGTGATGTAGGCCTTGATGGTACTCTAGGTGGTGCTATTGGGTGTCGCTCGATTGGTGAAGTCGCAATTTCATTATCACTTGAATTTTCATAATCAGTGATTATATCTGAGGCCGAAAGAGGAGGAGATGATGATGATTTTGTTTCTTGAACAATAGCAACATTGTTGTTATCATCATTGACTTTTTTTTCTTTTGGGGTCACTTTTGAAGGTTTACGTGTTACTGGAGACGATGGTGACTTTGGTTTACCGGGTGGAGATGTAATTGGTGATGGTACTGTGGATGTCGACGTCGGAGAAGGAGATTCGTGAATTGAATTTTTTTTTGTTGTTGTTGAAGCAGTAATAGGTGGAGGTGGAGATTTAGGTAATGTCGGTGAATCTTCATAATTCCAGGCTTGTTTTGAATTTGGCACTTCTGAAGATTGTGAATGAAGAGAGGCCGGCCTTTTACTCTTACTAGAAACAGAGGAAGCTTGCTGCTCGTCAGAAGTGGTCTCTGCTACCGATTTGGGTTGTGTTGAACTAGTCGATGATGATTTTGGTGAAGCAACATCATCAGTATCATCAACATCAACATCAACATCAACATCGACATCGACATCTGCATCAACATCAGCATCAACATCAACGCCAACCTTGTTTTCCAATTCTGGTTCATTTACTTTTTCAGTGACTTTCAAAGTTTCCGTTGGTTGAGTTTCTTGAGTTTTAGCTTCCTGGGTTTTAGCTTCTTGAGTTTTAGCTTCCTGCGTTTTAGTTTCCTGAGTTTTAGTTTCTTGAGCTTTAATTTCTTCAATATACGTCGATGGAAATAATCCAACTTCTCCTTGATCGTTTTTTCCTCTCCACCAACCATCATCGGTCTTATCCAAAATTATAATGGTTGTGCCAGCAACTAACGCAATCTCATCTTTTCGTAATCAAATAAAATAATAAAATTTATAAATGTTCGTAATTTTTTAATTGATTTGAAATAATAATGATGATTATACAAACCTTCGCCCTCAACATCATAGTCATACAACACTTTAGCTTTTAATTCTATTTAAAATTTATTTTACAATGTAATAATAATAGTATAAATAATAATAATAATACACAAAGTTCTTAAATAAACCTTTTTGACAATAATATAATTACCAGTTTTTTTGGGTTTTGGTGGTAATTTTTTGGGTAATGGGGGCAGCGAAGATGCTGGCTTTGTTACGATTTCTTCTGGTTTAGGTGGGGATGGTAAATTACCTACTTTGGGATGAGAATCGGAATCATCAGAACTTGTGGTTCGACGAGTTGTTGTTTTCTTTGATGGTACAGGAGTTGTTTCATGATGTTGCTTTCCTTCGTTGTTGTCGTTTGATTCAGCACTAGAATCTGATGGTTGTTGACTGCGTTTCTTTTTACCCAAAGTTGGAATTCCACCAGAAAACAAACTACCAATCCCGCCTTGTTTTACACCATAAATTGCTAGTTTTTTTGTAAATTTCCCTGGGGGGGGTTTTTTTTTGGTAAAGAATGTATAAATAATTAATATCGTCATATATTAATAATATCGTGTGTGCGTGATTGATGAGTATATAATTAATACCAACCTTTGCCCTCGGATTGTTCACCGTCATTTACATCATTTGATTGATCGGTAACTTCGATCAATTTGACATGCTGTAGATGCGTAAAGTAGTCAATTAATCACAAATAACACACGCAAATAAATAATACGAGCCACATAATAATATATTTGTTGATTATTGCCAAATTCAAGAATCAATTCAACAACTACTAACGTTTTCGGGGAATATACCAGTTTTTCCATTCAAATCACCTTTCCACCAACCACCTTCACCTTGTTCAATAACAGTTATAATTCCTCCTTTTTCAAGCGACAATTCATCGTCTTCGCGAGCTTCGTAGTCATACTCAATTCTAGCTAGTCTTTTTTCCTCTTTTATATATTATTTAATTTCGATTATTATTATTATTGCTTTGAAATGTTATGCTAATCAATGAAATAATGAAATAATTATAAATACTATTGGAATTTGTTTCTTCAGAATTTTCAGTAGCTTGTTCTTCGGTGGTAATGTTCTCTTGAGACTGTTAAACATAATCATCAAGTGATTTCATAAATAACGTGATAAAAAATTAATCAAAATCTTTAATTAAAAAAATAGGTACTTTATTATCAGAATCCATTATTATTTATATCGTTACAAGAAAAATGTTTTTTTGAAGATACGATAAAATAAAGTTTTGTTTCATATTTCCACAACACCAAATATAGTAAAGATTGATAATTGCTAATGTTAAGGACCAATCAAAATTTCAGAGATCACGCAAATCCTCAAAAGATACTTGGATCTTGGCAATATCATAATTACAACAAGTGAAATATAATAGAAATATAATAATAAAATCATTTTGAAATAGACATAAATTTACGATTAAAAATTTATAATAGATCTTATTAAATGATACAGATTATATTTTTTTTAAAACAATGAAAATAAAGTAATATTCTTCATCTTCTCTATCTCTCTTAAACACACACTATTTAGATTTCTTTTTGATGCATGATATTTCTGATTGAAGAATGTAACGACGCTAATAATTATTATATAAAAAAAAATTAAAAATTTAAGATTTTTAAATAATAAAATATAAAAAGTATATAGATTTGCAATATATATATATATATACATATACACATTACCTGTTTCTTTAATTTCAATAATTTATGTCTATCAAAATCGGACAATTTTGCTCTCCTATCACGACTATCCAATTTCTTGGCCCATGATGTTTTGTTCCATTTTTCCAAAATTTTTTCTTTTTCAAAATGTTTCTTTACTACAGTTGAACCACCACCTCTTGGAAAACATTTTATTACAAAGTCTGTGAGCACAAGACGACGATATGGATGTACATGACGTGCAACTCCAGTAATTGGTCCATCAATAAGTGCCTAGAAATAAAAGGATCGGTCGGTTAAGAATAGTTAAATATATGTGCATGTTGGTTGATATAATATAATATATAAATACCCTATTGTGATCAATTATATCAACAATGACCGCGAGTTTACCAGAATCTTTACCATGGTTAATGAAGACTACTCTTCCAACTTCTACTAAACGTTTGAAAACTCCTTTCTATGAAATATATATATATAATAGCAAGTAAACAATTCTCTAACGTTAATTATTTTCTTTTTGATAAATAAATAAATGAATTAAATTAGAATGAATCTGTTTTCTAAAAAAAAATTAAACGTTATTACATCTTCCATGATAAATTTTTTAAAAAAATAATTTAAATAATTGAGAAAATTAAAAAAAAATTTTTTTTCTAGATTGATCTGATAACCAATTTCAAATTAACCAATCAGGCAATTTTCCATGTATTAAAATAATTTTTTTACTTATGGATCGTTCAAATCGTTCTCCAACTAGTGAACAAGAACAACCACATTCAAATACTCCAGCCTTCCAAAAACAGCGTACATCTGTTGGCCAACAACATCCGATGCAGCCACAACTTCACATGGCACCACCTTTTCGCCCATTGCTTCCCTCTGGTTGGACTGAGCATTGTGCGCCAAATGGTTTACTTTATTACTATAATGCGACAACTGGTCAAAGTACTTGGGAAAGGCCTATTATGGCACCACCTCCTCCACCTACAATGGGATCCCCGCCTGGATTATTACAACCACCTGGTTTTCAACCTATGGGTGGCATGCATCCAATGTCCCTGCAACAACAGCAGCAATTGCACATGTCACTATACCCCACACAACAAAATAGACCAAAGGAAAAAAAAAAAAAAGAAAAGTCTAAGGGAAAGTAAGTGGATGGTTCGTTGAGTATTTATTTTATTCCAAAAATATAAAATTTTGTTTCAACCTCAATTATTATAGGAAACAAATACTTGACACCAAGTGGTATATTGTTAACACAACGGAGAGTAACGAGTTTTATTATAATTCTGAAACTAAACAATCTGTGTGGGAAGTTCCTGAAGAAATTGCTGACGCTGTAAAGGCATTGAAAGAACAGGAGGCAAAAGAATCTCAGAACAACAATAAATTAAATAATGAGGGTGTAGGTGTTAAAAGGAAGGCTGATGACGATGAAGAATCAGTGGATGGTGAAGATGTGAAAAGAGCTAAAGGAAGAATTGATGGTGGGATGGAGGGAACAGAGTAAGATTTTTCAATGAAAAAAAGAGAAAATTTCTTTATTATTTTTTTAAATTAAATTAATTATTTAAATAATTGATACATTAGATTAACTGAAGAAGATATATCTTTTCAACTTCAATTCATGGAAGAACAAGAATTATTGGCCGGTGGTGTTAAGCTTGATGAACATTCTGATTTGCAAAAGTATGAAATGACTGGCGGAGGAATTGATAATTCTCAAAAATCATTTAAAGAACAAAATAGAGAGGTTGAATTATCACCTGAAGAGCGTGTTCTGATGTTTAAAGTAAGATTGAATATAGCAAGGAGAGAAAAATCAATGAAAGCATCAATACTTAATTTGTTCGTTTATTTATTTATTTAGAGTCTTCTTAGGGATATGGACGTTTCACCATTTGCAATGTGGGAAAAAGAGCTACCAAGAATTATACATGATTCAAGATATACATGTACGTTATTATAATAATAAAATTTCTTTATTAGATTTGAAATTAACGATTTCTTTTTTTTTTTTGGTAGTGATTCCAACATTAAAACAAAGAAAAGAATATTTTGACGAATATTGCAAAGAGAGAGCTGTAGAAGTTAGAGCTGAAAAAAAGAATAAGGCATTGGTAAGTGTTAAAAAATTATTTTACATGTAAACAAATATTAATTAACGACTGATTTTCATCATAGCATATGTCGGCAAAAGATGAATATTCGAAATTATTGGAGGAAGAAACAACTCATCGATCACATTGGGATGAGTTTAGACGAATGTTTAAAAAAGATTTAAGGTTTAAGAATTTTTCGGATGATAAAGAAAGAGAAAAATTATTTAGAAATCATGTCGATGACTTGAAAGAAAAAGAATTTCAACGTAATTATATATATATAAATTGATTTTGAATAATTCTTAGTATGAATTCTATATATTAAATAAATTTTGCTATTTTTTTTTTTTAGGTAAAAAAGCTCAACAAAAAAGAGCTGAAGAAGAATTTACGACGCTTTTAATGGAAACAAGAGAAATAAAATACGATTCAAGTTGGAGAAAAGTTAATTGACGCTTGTGGTTTTTTTTTAAAAAAAATTTATTAACTTTTTATATTAAAATAAATGTTTATATATTTGTATATGTATAAAACAAAGATAAAACGATTAATAAACGATGATCCAAGATATGATGAGGTGCAATCTTCAATTCGTAGAGAAGAATTATTTCGTGATTTTTGTAGAAAACTAGAAGCAGAAGATGAAGAAGAAATGATTAGAAAAGAAAATGAAAGGAAACAAAGAGAAAGGAAAGCCAGGTAAATATTTTTTTATAAACTTTTTTTTTAATATATTTAATAATAATTGATGGGATTTTTTTCAAAAAAAAAAAAGGGAAGAAGCAAGTTTAAGGCAACGTGAATTACAAGTTAGAAAAGAAAAAAAAGCACAAGAACGTAATAAAGATGGCGCCAAGAGACAAGCTATACACGAAGAATCTATACTAGCATTTCGAACACTTTTAATTGATCTAGTAAGGACTCATGAGGTAATTTTTATTTCTTTTGTTTAATTTAATAATTTATTGATTATCATAACATGCTTATGTTTACTATTTATTTATGATTCGTTGTATAGACAACTTGGGAAACAAAGAAAACAGATCTAGAGCGTGATTCACGTTACCATTCTGAAAGATTGAATGATGGTGACAGGGAACAGCTTTTCAACGAGCATCTCAATCAACTTTACCAGAAAAATTTAAAAGCATATCATCAACTTTTAGATAAGCATGTGAATTTAGATACTACTTGGTTAGAGATTAGTCATATAATTAAAGATGATCCAAGGTCTTCTAGACTTTCAAAAAGCGATACTGTATTAGAGGAACTATTTGATAAATATTTGGAAAGAAGAATTCTTAAAGCCAAGGAAGAGTTCAGAGAACTATTACAAGAAAATAAATTAGTAGAGTATAGAACAAGATTGGTTAAATTGTCAGAAGATGGGGCTGCTGATGAAACTGGTACCACGAAAGAAAAGGCTCGTGGTCTAACATTAGAAGAAATTAATGATTTACTAAAGGTAAAAAATTTAATATTTAAAACTTTTATTGTTTTCTATTCAAGGGACTAACAATTGAATTATTTGTATGTATAAATATAGGATGACAAACGTTATTTGGTGTTAAATCATATTCCTGAAGTTCGTGATGAAACGATTTTAGAATTCTTAAATAAATTAGAAGCTCCAAAAATGACAGTTCACCAAGGAAGAGAATGATTAATACTTGTTTACCATTTAGATATTCATTCATTATTACAATTATTTATTTTTTTTAGGTTTTGGTTTTTGTTTCCATGTATAAATAAATAATAACTTTTTAAGAATAACGATATTTAATGCAAATAAAATTTCCAAGTCAAAATATTAAATTCTTACATAAATGAGAATTTAAAATCTTTTAGGAAAATATCTTGTGAATATATATGTGATAAAAACAAAAAATATAATTTACATTTCAGTTAATTGACACTCCCCTACCAAAAGTATCCGGACACCTATTTTTATTAATAACACAAAAATCTACATAATAAATACACATAAAATTTATATCAATATGTAGCTCAGGTTTTAATGAATATTTATGCAAAATTTCATAATAATATCATATAAAATGATATTTTAATAAAAAAAAAAAAAGAAATTCGATTAAAAATTGCAATATTATTTTTTGTTTTCTTGATTGTTTAAAATTCCACATAATAAAAAAAATTTTTTTTTATTGATTTTTTGTTTAGGTTTTCATTATTAAGTATGTAATTTTTCATAACTTTGGAGTGTGTAGGTATTTTATAATAAAAGTTAAACAACTTGCAATAAAAATTGATCTGCGAAATCAAGGTTGTTATTTCAATTTTTTAAAAATGCCAAAAAATGAAGAATTTATGTGAGCAAAAATTTTAGGACTTTATGAAAGCAATAAAAGCATTAGGAATATTTCTAAACAACTAAAAATCCCAAAGAGTACAGTTCAGGACACTATTTCACGTTACAAAAATTCAGGTAGTGTTAAAAGTGCACCAAGAACTGGTAGGCCAAGAATCCTGAATGGGTCTGACCAAAAAAAACTAAAAAAAATTGTGAAAGAAAACAACCGTAGTTCAATAAATATGATCCAAAAAAATATGTTGAAGCTAGCAATGTTGAAGTTTCATCTTCTACAATCCACAGAAATTTGCATGAGCTTAAGATTTTCTCTAGAATTGCTGCTGTAAAACCACTCCTGACAGAAAAGCAGCAAGAAAATCAATGAAATGGTGTCAACAAAGAAGAAATTGGAGTGTTACTCGATGGGGAAGAGTCATATGGACTGATGAGTCTCAATTTACAATTTTTAGAAGTGATGGTCCTAACTGTGTTTGGTGTACAGTTGGTCAACGTTACAATATTAAAAATGTTAGTCCATTGGTCAAACATGGTGGTGGTGGGATAATGATTTGGTGATGTTTTTCTGGAAAAGGTTTGGGGCCATTAGTTAGGGTTGAAGGCAAAATGAATTGACATGATTATATAAAAATTCTGGAGAATAATTTGTTACTGTACATTGAAAATGTGTTTAATGGTGTATATGTGGGTAAAATATAATTTTATTTAATAAAGATATTATATGATAGTGTGGTTTCAAGTTCACTTAAAGTAAAACGTTATGTTCATATTATGGAAAGTTATAGAACTTTTGATTATTAATAAATTATTCTAAATTATTCTACTAGTTTCTTCATCTTTCTCAACCATAGATTTTTATATATATTCAGCTTCAATGTTAAAGTAATATTCAAAGTCTTATTCAGAGATTTCTTCTCCAAAAACCTCTTGATATTCTTTCTTAAAGGTTTTTAAATCTTTTATCTTCTGTTTTAATTTCCTTGTTTCTTCGTTTTCTAGTTTTCTAAGATTATTTATTCTCTTTGTTTTTTCTTCATTAGATAAATGTCCATTTGATTTTCTTCCAATAATTTTTCTTGTCATTTTTATTATAATTTTTATTATTATTATTATATATATTTTTTATTTTCGTTTTTTGACAAGGTGAATTCTTTTTCCCTCCTTTTATATTCATTTTTTGATTAGTAATTCTAATCATTAACTAAGCCTTTTGTCTTTTCTAGGTACGTGGGGGGTTCAAAAAGTTTTGACACTGTGCAATTATTTTGATGATCCTCAAATGGATCCCATTTTGAGAATAATCATTTTATAGCTTGGGTAACATCCAATAAGTAATAGAAAGTTTGGCACAACTTGATTTGACAATTGTGGAGAAATAATTTTTTCAATATTGCCTATTAACAATAATGGAAAATACTA